ATTACATTTTAAAATATATTCAAATAGAAAGCAGTTATTTTAAATAGTAAAAATATTAAAAAATTTTACTGCTTTTGGTGCATTTTGGATCAAATAAATGCAGGCTTGGTGAGCAGAAGAGAATTCTTTGAGAAACATTAAAAATCTTGCAGTTCAAAAATCTTTGTTAGTGTAGGCTGATTATTCTTATAGATTGAAACGTGCATTAACCAGGATAACGAGTATGAAACATGCTCCGAGTTGATTCAGAAAACAAAAAAATAGAGCAACAACAAAAGCATGTTGCTGGAAATGGGTTTATTATTGAAAATGCAAACTGCTTGTCTGCCAGCAGGAGGCGCTGTGAGAGCAGCAGAACTAACGGTTTCTCCAGTAATGGCTTGTAAACAAAGTAGCTCCGCTCATGAACAGTACTTTATCAAATAAAAATGCCATCTAAACTTTTCTGAAGACAGTCGGTTCCCTTCAGAGATACATTCATATAAAACACCCGCGACGCGTTTTGATTTTGAAACGTGCAGTGCTCATGTTTATTCAACGAAGTCAAATGCCACAAATAAATCAATGTATGGGAAACACTGGTAATGTATATCGGAAATGTTTAAAAATCATATTACCGTTATTGAAAAAAATTATATCGCGATACATATCGATATTGAATTATTGTCCAGCCCTACTATAAAGTAACTTTAATCGTATTAGTCACTACTGTCAAAAAAATTAAAGCTTTTTACACTTTTTCACTTTTTTTTTATTATTTCTATGGTGTTTTAAAGGAAACTGGTTGTCGTGGTTATTTTGTTTTTATGTATTAGTACTGACAATTGATAAAAAAAAATGTAAAAACCTAATCGCACATTTTTTCTGAAATTAATTGCGATTAATCCCACCTAACATTCAAGTTTTTAAATATACATTTATATTGCAATTTCACATTTCATGAATGTAGAAACAACAAATGCATTGATGATGATATTTGATATAATATCATGATATTTGATATTTGGCATATTTTTTAATGACTGAAGGCGAGTATCACTAATACCAATACTACTGATGTCTCTATGAAATTTTGTTTTTTTATCCTAATATTTAACCATTGACTATAGCCATTCAACAATACAGTATAATTGATAGCTATCAATTTATTAAATTATCAATGGTCTTAATCAGACTTTAAAAAACAACTTCTAACTTAAGTGAACTTAAAACAATCTTCACATAAACCCATTGTAATAAATGTCTTATTTAGCTACCTATGCCCTTCAGCAGGTAGGAAATACTATACAGATATTTAATAAAGTTTAAAATTGAAAAAAATTGAAACTAAATTCTAAATTAAATGTAGATGAATTCTTAAAGCTACAAAAGTTATTGATTTCCTCTTCTTTCTTTTTTTTCTTTTGTTCTTTGATTAACAGGCATCACAGCAGCTGGGTTATTAGGTTATTTGGGCTGTTTTAAGAGCTGCCGCTGCTGAACATGAGGCATATCTGACACGCATTGTATTTTCTCACAACTCTTTACCTTTTCTGACCCACTTCAGGTCTTAAAGTCTCTACTAATGAGCTGACGAGTTGAATCGGGTGTTAGATGAGGGAGACAGTGCTGGGCTGCTCTGAAGACCACTGCATTTCAGAGACATGTTCTTAAATCTGACTCGTATTTAACAAATACTTACTTGCATGCACAGATTTAAGGCAGCTTTAATCGTCTTTTTGGTAACTTCATGACTTAACTGACGACATAGCTACGACATTGCATGCTCGTAGTTTTTTTGCGCTTTAATATGAAATTATATACTGTGTGCACCGTTGCATTTGTGCGTGCAGTTGAAGAGCATGCGCTACAAGCACAGTATTATGGTCTGACTGGACAGGAAAATGTGTTTTTACTGACATATGGTCTAACAACGCCTCATCTGACCACAGTTCACTGTTCTACTGAAGCTCCCTCTTCACCTAGCTTTTCTGTGGTCGTTTGGTGGCGAACCCTAGCTCCACCCCTGCGTTAAATATTTTTATCGCTATTAAACTGAAAAAATTTGCATGCATTAACATGCCAATTTTGACAGCACTATTTATTAATTTTTTCCTCTTTTTCAAGAAATCATAGGGGCTTCTTGTTTTCACTCTTGTTTAACAGTTTTAAATAACTATTTTTCAGGCAGACTTTTGCATTATCTTTCTTCATTTCCTCTTTTTCTACCTCCCGCGCCATACAAATGTGCCGTGTCTTTCAGCACAACATGTTATGGTCATATAAAATTAATGCTAATTGTTCACTGCACCTTTGAAAAGGAAATCTGATATCTCTTTTGGCTTCTTCAGACAGAGGGAACGATAACTGGTTGATCAAGTATGAGAAGCCAGGCGATGGAGAGCTGACGGAGAAGGTGAGCTGGGGGATATTTTTAGAGCTCCTCTGTTTGCAGTGCTGAAAGAAAATGCCATGACTGAAAACCATGTGCCTGCTGAAATGGAAGCAAGCAAATGCAGGGGTGTCATATTCATATTTTTGATAATATATTGAAATAAAAATAGATAAAATAATAATTTGTGTGTGTGGTACATATGTATGTATGTGTGTACATATAGATAGATAGATATATTTATTTATTTATTTTTTTGGATAATTGAATGGGCATGGCATCTCTTGGTAAACAATTCCTCCCATATGCACAAATCTCTTTAAACATCTTACCACGTCAGACATAAGACTGATTCAGTATTGCAAAAGCAGCTGAGTTTCTTTTAGTGGTTGACCGATATTGTTTTTTTGACGGCCGATGACGGTATCTTGGAAAGCAGTGTGGCCGATATAATTTTTTTTATTTTAATTAATGTTTAAGAAATTTGAAATCATTTGAAAATTGATTACAAAGTAAATGTGTTAAATAAACATACTTATACTTTAGATGATAAAGTATTTTTCACAAATAAATATTTAATAAAAAAAAAGGAAGTAAACACTGTAACCAACAGGGAACTCAGTATTCTGGGAAGTTTGTGTGCATTGGGAATCATATTTTTTTCAAATAAAGCCAAGGTAACACTAATTTTACATACAGCACACAGTGGAAATGAATATGGCAGTGGGCAAATGCATAAAGTGCAGCATAATTTGAAATCGCTAGTTTAAAGTTTGTCGATCGCGTGTCTCAATGAAGCTGAACTCTCCTCCTGTCTGCATTTAATTCACACGGACTGACCATAATGCAGAGTACACGCGATCATGCAGGATTCGACTAAGTTTGCAAGCTTTGTGAAATTAAATATTCATTAGTCATTCAAAGATTTGTTTAAATAATATTAATGCGTATTTGCTGAATGCTAATGGCAAATGAGAAAGTATTATAATGTTTGCCTTTCTATTACTAATAATATAAAAGCAATCGTTATAATACTTTTTGTATACATTTTAATTCCTTTGTTTAACCGTTCTGTCTGATTATTAGACGGACTTCTATCCATATTAGACAACTGTTAACGACGACGGTGAACAAGGGGGAGAAGGTGAGCACCAGCCACTGTCAGCGCCGTCAAAATAAAAGTCCCGCATCGGCCAAACAGGAAAACGTATCTGCCGATATTTAAAAAATGCCAAATATCGGCCGATATATCGGCCTTGGCGATATATCGGTTGACCACTAGTTTAATGAGCTGACGAGTTGAATCGGGTGTTAGATGAGGGAGACAGTGCTGGGCTGCTCTGAAGACCACTGCATTTCAGAGACATGTTCTTAAATCTGACTCGTATTTAACAAATACTTACTTGCATGCACAGATTTAAGGCAGCTTTAATCGTCTTTTTGGTAACTTCATGACTTAACTGACGACATAGCTATGACATTGCATGCTCGTAGTTTTTTTGCGCTTTAATATGAAATTATATACTGTGTGCACCGTTGCATTTGTGCGTGCAGTTGAAGAGCATGCGCTACAAGCACAGTATTACGGTCTGACTGGACAGGAAAATGTGTTTTTTACTGACATATGGTCTAACAACGCCTCATCTGACCACAGTTCACTGTTCTACTGAAGCTCCCTCTTCACCTAGCTTTTCTGTGGTCGTTTGGTGGCGAACCCTAGCTCCACCCCTGCGTTAAATATTTTTATCGCTATTAAACTGAAAAAATTTGCATGCATTAACATGCCAATTTTGACAACACTATTTATTAATTTTTTCCTCTTTTTCAAGAAATCATAGGGGCTTCTTGTTTTCACTCTTGTTTAACAGTTTTAAATAACTATTTTTCAGGCAGACTTTTGCATTATCTTTCTTCATTTCCTCTTTTTCTACCTCCCGCGCCATACAAATGTGCCGTGTCTTTCAGCACAACATGTTATGGTCATATAAAATTAATGCTAATTGTTCACTGCACCTTTGAAAAGGAAATCTGATATCTCTTTTGGCTTCTTCAGACAGAGGGAACGATAACTGGTTGATCAAGTATGAGAAGCCAGGCGATGGAGAGCTGACGGAGAAGGTGAGCTGGGGGATATTTTTAGAGCTCCTCTGTTTGCAGTGCTGAAAGAAAATGCCATGACTGAAAACCATGTGCCTGCTGAAATGGAAGCAAGCAAATGCAGGGGTGTCATATTCATATTTTTGATAATATATTGAAATAAAAATAGATAAAATAATAATTTGTGTGTGTGGTACATATGTATGTATGTGTGTACATATAGATAGATAGATATATTTATTTATTTATTTTTTTGGATAATTGAATGGGCATGGCATCTCTTGGTAAACAATTCCTCCCATATGCACAAATCTCTTTAAACATCTTACCACGTCAGACATAAGACTGATTCAGTATTGCAAAAGCAGCTGAGTTTCTTTTAGTGGTTGACCGATATTGTTTTTTTGACGGCCGATGACGGTATCTTGGAAAGCAGTGTGGCCGATATAATTTTTTTTATTTTAATTAATGTTTAAGAAATTTGAAATCATTTGAAAATTGATTACAAAGTAAATGTGTTAAATAAACATACTTATACTTTAGATGATAAAGTATTTTTCACAAATAAATATTTAATAAAAAAAAAGGAAGTAAACACTGTAACCAACAGGGAACTCAGTATTCTGGGAAGTTTGTGTGCATTGGGAATCATATTTTTTTCAAATAAAGCCAAGGTAACACTAATTTTACATACAGCACACAGTGGAAATGAATATGGCAGTGGGCAAATGCATAAAGTGCAGCATAATTTGAAATCGCTAGTTTAAAGTTTGTCGATCGCGTGTCTCAATGAAGCTGAACTCTCCTCCTGTCCGTATTCAATTCGCACGGACCGACCGTCATACAGAGTACACACGATCGTGCAGGATACAAATGCACACTTCATAAGATCTCACAGCTGAATTCGACTAAGTTTGCAAGATTTTTAAAAATAGATGTTCATTAGTCATTCAAAGATTTGTTTAAATAATATTAATGCGTATTTGCTGAATGCTAATGGCAAATGAGAAAGTATTATAATGTTTGCCTATCGCGTGTCTCAATGAAGCTGAACTCTCCTCCTGTCTGCATTTAATTCACACGGACTGACCATAATGCAGAGTACACGCGATCATGCAGGATTCGACTAAGTTTGCAAGCTTTGTGAAATTAAATATTCATTAGTCATTCAAAGATTTGTTTAAATAATATTAATGCGTATTTGCTGAATGCTAATGGCAAATGAGAAAGTATTATAATGTTTGCCTTTCTATTACTAATAATATAAAAGCAATCGTTATAATACTTTTTGTATACATTTTAATTCCTTTGTTTAACCGTTCTGTCTGATTATTAGACGGACTTCTATCCATATTAGACAACTGTTAACGACGACGGTGAACAAGGGGGAGAAGGTGAGCACCAGCCACTGTCAGCGCCGTCAAAATAAAAGTCCCGCATCGGCCAAACAGGAAAACGTATCTGCCGATATTTAAAAAATGCCAAATATCGGCCGATATATCGGCCTTGGCGATATATCGGTTGACCACTAGTTTCTTTATATATCTCTGTTGAGCAAGTTACTGCAGAGGTAATATTATGGATGTGATGATTGCTTCCCAGTCCCGTACAAATGTTTCTCTTCCGTGTGTCTCTTCTCAGGAATCTGAATGGACTGATCCAAAAGACTCGGCCATACAGATAGCCGCTATAGATAATGGTTTGGCCTTCCCTTTTAAACACCCCGATGAGTGGAGAGCATGTAAGAATTTTTTTTTCTCTCTTGTTTTTACAGTTCATATTTTTTACGTTTAAAACAACTGTATTCTATTTTAATATTTAAAATGTAAATTATTCCTGTGGTGGTAATGCTGGTTTTTCTGCCGTCATTACTTCAGTTTTCATGTTTAATGTTTAATAATGCTTAATATTTTTATGGAAACTGATTTTAGGATTCTTTGAATAGACAGAACAGCATTTATTTGAAATGGAAATCTTTTGAGACATTATAAATGGCTTCATTGTCATATTTAATCAATGTGTCCTTACTGAATGAAGGTATGCTTTTAAAACCATATCCAAGAGTTACCACATATCCACAGTTTCTATTTGTCTACCAAGTGCATTTCAAACATTTTAAGCATAAACATTTAGATCTAAAGATTATCTAAGAGCATGGCAAACATAATACAGTCTAGTATGTCCAGATTTTACTGGTAGTGTATAAGTGATCATACTTAACAGATGAAATGATTGTTCTTCATCTTGGTGCATATGCAGATCCGTTCCACTGGGCATGGTTGCCTCAGGCCAAAGTGGCCTTTTCCCAGGAGACAAGAGACCTTGTGCTCTCTCGCATTTCTGACATGAACTTTGTACAGGACCTCTGTGAGGACCTTTATGAGATGTTCAAGGTAGGAGATCTCACTGTCACAAGATTAAGTCTTACCAGGGTTGTACTTGCATTCTTACCATTCAATGCAGTGAATTTGTTATTAAAATGTTGCTTTGGCTGTAGTTTACTTGAAGACTTAACTTCTTGGATGGGGCTTTAGCATGCTGTCAGTCTGGTTTCTGTTAGCAGGCTTGATGCTTACCATGCTGTCACTAAAACCCTTACAAAAGTCGTGTCTCTAAATTCATCCCATTTTAAGTTGCTCTGCTAGAAATATTCAAGCTAAAAAAAAAATCACAAAACCAAGAAAAAGTCTAGATAAATTACTAACTGATCTCTGCAAGTGACCTGACCCTGATCTCTTTTCTGTGATGTCAGTACAGTCCTACTCACTGGTTTGCAGTAAAGTAGGTTGATCATTTGTGCATTCATTTGCAAGAATCCTAGTATGGATGAATATTCTTTTTTACAATTAAATGACTTTTCACATTAATAACTGTGTTTTCAGACAGATAAAGGGTTTGACAAAACCATGTTTGAGAAACAGATGTCTGTTATGAGAGGACAGGTAAGTTTTATGCTTTGAGGAGATTTTACATTATGTTTTCTCTGCTATTCCAGAAATAGTGTTCTGTTCTCACATGCTTCATTCTCCTTAAACGCTGAAGCTCTTCATAATGAAAAATTCACAGCTAACGTATATTAATACACCCAGCCGGGATGCTATTTTCAGCCTATCACAGCTGAAACATAGACTTGAATTAAGACCTCAGATTTTGCATTGCCAAATAAAAAAAGATTGTGTCTCTAACACTATTAAAAATACAAGTATTTTCTGTAAATGTTTATGCTCAGTTTGTCCAGTGGTCTTTAATATACTATTATACACTACTGTTCAAAAGTTTGGGGTCATTAGGATTATTTTAACATGTTAGAAATGCAGTAATAAAACTGTAATATTGTGAAATATTACAATTGACAAAAAAGCTGATTTTTCAGTCTTCAGTCTACTCCAGTCTTCAGTGTCACATGATTCTTCAGAAATCATTGTAAAATACTGATATATAATATATATGTGTATATAGTATTTGAAGCAAACTCATCAAAAAAATCATGTATGTATTATCATACTTGTCTTTTCTTATCGAATAGATCTTAAACCTGACCCAGGCTTTCAAAGACGGGAAGAGCCCCATCCAGTTAGTGCAGATGCCTCGTGTGGTGGTGGAGAGGAGCCGCGGGGGAGGCCAGGGTCGTGTGGTCCAACTGGGCAATGCTTTTACCCAGACCTTCCACTGTAAGAGACCCTTTTTCACATCCTGGTAAAAGGGCCACACAGAGGACGAAGACTGGAGTGAAAATGGACGAGGGTCCTATACCAGAGACACTGGATGAGCAACTTTCTGAGAAAGACTTCCTGGGTGAAGAACTTTCTGAGAAAGACTTCCTGGGTGAATGTAGCAAAGGGAGAGACTTAGAAGAATGCATGAAGGTCTGTTGAGGAGGATCCGAGGCCTTTTGTTTTCCTGAGCCGTTTCCCAGAATTCTCCTCTTCAGCTCACTATGGCTGTCAAGACGGAATGTCAAAAGGGAATCGTTCATTCAAAATGTTGAAGTTTTGTGGCAACAGCCTTTCTCAACTGCCAATTTTATAAGTATAACTATAGATATTATAAATTAAGAAGGATGCATAAAAATCAATTTAAACTTGAAAAATGCTTGAATGTAATTTGCAAGTTTACATTTTACACTTCTCTTGAGGACATTTCAACACCAAGAAATACTGGTGACCGTGGTATTTAATATGATGAATGTATTTGCGGATTATGTAACAGGATGCTGGTAATAGTATATATACATTGTTAAAGTTGGGTACTTTGTAGCGCTTGATAAAAGCATAATTACAAAAGGTTTTTTTTTTTTCTGTCTCACACAATCCTGTGTATGCATCTTGGAATTTGTATTTCAGCTGAGCGGTTAATGTAGAGCTGTATATTTAAAATTAAGTGAATAAAAATAAAGCTTTGGGGTTGGTAAAAGTAGATCTAGTGTTTTTTTTATTAGTTTAGTTATGTTTCCTTTTTTTTACTTTATTGTAAAAGTGTCAGGAAAAAATTTTTGTATTATATGCTAAAGTTTTCAATGTTTTTCTTCTAAACGTGGTTGTACCTGATTGTTTAATGCCGGAGCTGGAGTAATATTACTGTAACAGAAGTCTTGTGCTAGTAACTGATGTGAATTACGCAGATTGTTTGCTTCCTGTGTGTGTGTGTGTGTGTGTGTGTGTGTGTGTCTTTAGAAGCTGCATGTTCTCAGACTGACCAATAGGTGGCAGTATTCTCACAAACGAGCGGCACTTCCTCGGCCTGAGACGGATGAAGTTTTCCACTGGTTTATCTCCAATGTCAAAACAAGCCCTGAGAAGTTGATTAATCGCCTATTACCGCTGGACTGAGAGAAACAAGTACGTAATTTGCTGATTAGCCATGTTCTCTAAACACGGAAATAACATTAAGATGTGGAAATCAAATATCGGTATGGCTGGCATATTATTCGTATGTAGACCTATAATTTAATCACACACGTTAAACTGTCCAAATTGAGCCACTTTAGGTTTTTCATGATTCTCTGAAAATATGAATCACAATAATGTATTGATTTTTATCATATTAGGGCCATTTAATGAATTTCATAAAATCCATGCCACCGTGTCTCTGTTTGTGTGTGTGTGTTTTTCCCCTCCCCAATTTTGTCTTTCATAGTTTTCTTGTAGTCATAAATGGCATATACACACAATCTGGAGAAATGTGTTGCCCTGTTTTCCCTCTATCATTTATCATTGTGGGAACTCTCCTTCAGCTCATTCTCAGAAGTGAGAGGGAAAACTCTGGAATGTTCTTCTCTCACTCTCTCGTACTTCCACCCAAATTTTCTTTCACACACACGTATCTTATCTCTCCTTTTCTGGCTTGATTTCAGTTCCCAGAAAAGCACTACAACTGTGTATATATATATATCCAGTGGTGTGAAAAAGTGTTGGCCCCCTTCCTGATTTCTTATTTTTTTGCACGTTTGTCACACTTTAATGTTTCAGATCATCAAACAAATTAAAATATTAGTAAAAGATAACACAAGTGAACACAACATGCAGTTTTTAAATGAAGGTTTTTATTATTAAGGGAAAACAAAATCCAAAACTGCATGGCCCTGTATGAAAAAGTGTTTGCCCCCTAAACCTAATAACTGGTTGGGCCACCCTTAGCAGCAACAACTGCAATCAAGCGTTTGCGATAACTTGCAATGAGTCTGTTACAGCGCTGTGGAGGAATTTTGGTCCACTCATCTATGCAGAATTGTTGTAATTCAGCCACATTGGAGGGTTTTCGAGCATGAACCGCCTTTTTAAGGTCATGCCACAGCATCTCAATAGGATTCAGGTCAGGACTTTGACTAGGCCACCCCAAAGTCTTCATTTTGTTTTTCTTCTGAGGATCTTTTGGTCTACTTCACTTTGTCAGGCAGGTCCTATTTAAGAGATTTCTTGATTGCGAACAGGTGTGGCAGTAATAAGGCCTGGGTGTGGCTAGAGAAATTGAACTCAGGTGTGATAAACCACAGTTTTAACAGGGGGGCAAACACTTCTTCACACAGGGCCATGTAGTTTTGGATTTTGTTTTCCCTTAATAATAAAAACCTTCATTTAAAAACTGCGTGTTGTGTTTACTTGTGTTATCTTTGACTAATATTTAAATTTGTTTGATGATCTGAAACATTAAAGTGTGACAAACATATAAAATAAGAAATCAGGAAGGGGGCCAACACTTTTTCACACCACTGTATATATTTATATGGTGAGATCAGATCTCTGTGTGGAGCACTGGTTGTTGTCAGACTCCTTGTGCGTACAAAAATCTCACTGGAGTATTTCAATTAATGGCAAAAGTAATGTTTGGAAATGTAAACCGATATTTCCAACTGACACACTACAGCAAAAGATTAAAACCATTTTTTGTTGGTGAAAATACTAATGGCCTAAGACTTGCACATTTTTGTATATGTCTGTTTTTTTTCTCTGTGATGGATTGGTTCATAAACATGACTCCATAAGGGGTGTTATTTATTTTTCTTGGAAATCAGATTGCTGGAAGTGTTAAGAGTATTAGAGAAAGACAGGTACTTGGGATGGATTTGTCTGGTATGGCTATGAGTCTGGCCTCAGCTTGCAGGCTTTGCAATGACAATTCCCTCTTTGTTTGAGCATTATAGATGCATTATGTAAGCAGACGCTGAGATCACCAGCCACACAGCTGTTTCACTCCTTTAAGATGAAGTAATTGCCATTTTCTTCTCAAACACAATTTAAAACATTTTGCCTGTGAAAAATTGCAAACGACAAGCCTCTGAAAGCTAAGCGTATTATGTATTTGAATAAAATTGTTATAGTAATAGCTGTTTGGGGATGTCATTTATTATATTTTTTATAATTAAGTCAAATAATTTAAATGAACAATCAAATGATCAATTAATCATAAAATATTAAACATCTGCATGACTTCAACTCTGTGGCCATTAAAAATGGGGAAAAAAACGTATAATGAATACACAAACTTTTGTGGTATTTAAATTATTTATAAATTTTATATATATATATATATATATATATATATATATATATATATATTGTCAATAATCTTAATTATGTAAATTAACCAATTAATTTTTCAATACTGTAAATCTTAAGTGTAGGGACTAATTAACCATTTTTATTTAAATTTTGCAATTCAAGTTTAGTATCTATTTGCTATTAATAATGTAAGTGTTGAACATAACTATACAGAAATTTGTTAAAAAATATATATTATGCATGAACATGTATAAAATTAATAACATTAGTTAAGGTAAACACAAAAACATCATAGATGAAAGCCATTCATGCTGTTTTAATACATTTAATAGTGCATTTTGACCACGATTAATCTGTACAGAAATAACATTAATAAAAAAGATAAACAACTTTCTCATTTCTGTAACTTAGTGTAACATTTACATTAAAATAAGATGCATACAAAAACACGATATGAGTGATATAAATACAGAGCGGTTTAAGTTAACTGTCATTGTCATGCGTTATTCGTTTGGCAGCATACATTTACACACGTTTATGATACACCGCCATGGACAGGCACGCAAGTAGCAATAAATCGAGACATCGAACCCAGGACCGACAATCATAAAGCACCTCAATAGGAGTACTGGACTCATCCGAAGCATCATGTCAGAAAGAAATCGGTTGGGTGATCGCAGCACTCCTACTTTGATGACGTGACCGCAGGCCTGGTTATAGTTAAGTGTAAATGCAAGCTTTGTTACTATTTTAGACTTTTACTTCATTTCTGGTTAACACTGACAAACAAACAACATCATTTCCCCTCGTACACCATCCTCTGACAAAATTATTGCCTTGGTAGCCCCTATAATCCAACCTGAACATCCAACCCAAAATAAAAAGTTTTTCCTATCCTTTGAGTCTTTCGTAACACTCTCTTTTCCCAGGGCTCAAGATGTTAAATGGCCGAGACAGCTGGATGGATTTTATTGGTTTGCAGCACTGATCTCGACCAATCACAGGCCTCAGAGTGAGTAAACTGTATTTGTGTTTTCTTTGGAGTCCTGTGTTGAATCCTCAGATTACTTTGCAATGTATAATTGGTCCACATTGGTCTCAGCTTTGGCTTTGGTGCTGTTGGAACCCTCTGTGCAGTTTAAGTGTCTACATGCTCTAGTCTTTTCCTCTATCACACATTTCCTATCTTCCTTTCAAAGGTGTGCCAGCCACCACCTTCCGTCTTGTATATAGACAAACATGTCTGTCCATCCATTCTACCATCAGTCCATTCTCTTAAATATTACGAAAGCACTGTACACAGCTTTGCAGACATTTGCAGACTATGTAACAGTGACGCACACACAGAAACAGGTTTAAACACTATATTGCAGCGGGTGTCAGTGCATGGAATGTCTCATTTGTCAATAATACACGCATTCAAATCAGACACACTATACATAGACTCACATTCAAAAATACACATACATACTTGCTTCTCAGAAGCAAAAGCACCTCCCGTTTTATGTAGTCTATGACATGATCAGTAACTAGGTCAAACGTTGTGCCGTCAGTGATGATGTCATAGCAGCAGGAACGCCCATTTCCAGTCTTTCAGGCTTCTTGGTTGATGGCCATCAAAATGGCAAGAGCTTTGACCTATGTAGCTTGTTGATTTCAGCACAGTCGTTGGTCTGTATCATATAAGGGCTCAGATCGTATGTTAAGGGAGTTTAAAATCATCATCTTCCTCTCTAACGTAAGCGTTTGTAGAGAGGTGAAATGAAACATCAAAGCACACG